GGTGGACATTTTCAAAGGCGATGAGGCAGTGGGCGAAGTGATCTCCCGTGCTTTCCGACTAAGAATGAGTCGTTCGGTTCATTTTTAGTCGGAAAAAACCCAAAAAAAGCCCAAAAAACATTCCTAAATGTAATTTAACCGGCCGTGAAAGCCTTCATAGTCTGAATTTATATATATGTATTATAATTTTTTTGTTAGAATAATGGAGACTTAGGATGAAATGAAAATCACTGAATAAGAAATTGTTAACTAATAAAATATAATAGAGGCGTCAAAAAATCACGTTAACTTCAATTGAATAAAGCAAGCTTACATTTTGGTTCTAAACAGTACACTTAGGTACATAAATTTACTTTCTACTATATTCAAAATATGGAACTGTAAAATTTTTACGAATAATCCATTTACTCGAACCAAAAAAGAACAAGACGAATTAAAAGCCACGACTTTAAACATTCTACTGCTAATTGTCTTTTTTCAATGAAACATCTCACATCTTTTTTGTTTAGAGCATGAAAACGTCTAACAAAAATACATTCAGCCAAAAAAATAGAAATGAGAATCTTAATCGTATTATAAGAGAATTAGGCAAAATTATGATTCCCTCCTGCCGCAACCGATGATTGCTTCGTCTTTCTGATTTGAATTAAATTGATGGTTTGACCAAATTCAGACTGTTAATCGAGCATTCACAGATGCGGACGAATCTGAAGAATTTATCGGTGTATCAGTATTGATTTTAAAGGCTTCACAATGTTCCACTCATAATTGGTTATGCACAAAACTACATTTTTATAAACAGTTTCTTTTATAATTTCCAACATCAACTCAAAAATTCCTTTTTTAAATCAAATGAGGCACTTTATAACCCAAAAACTAACTTATTTTTCTTTTACAGTTGATTAGATAATAGAAAAGTCGTGCTCGAATTTTTATCAACAAAGTCAGTTGTTATCAACAAAGTTCAGTCAGTTGTATTTTAAGTTTTTCGAATCAGTCTCTAGTGATTAATGAAATATAAAAAAAAATACTGAGGTTTAATTGTATGAATGAAAAGTGAACGAAACTTACTTACTAAACTAACGGTTTCTTGAAATGAAGTATCTCCAAATCATCAAAATATTGAAAAG